CTAACGCCAAGCTATATTCTTGTATCACTCACTTGATACAGATATATTTTGGGATGTGTTTGGTCTCCCTGTACTGGGACCAATACCAATAATTCCTTAGACTGCCAAATTGAAGACATGATTATGTTCCCATGTTGAGGGCCATTACCATCCCAGGTTTGCAACGATTGTTACTGGGTGGTCATATCCCCCCCCTTTTTTTTCAGATTGGCATTAATGTCTTAGTTCCTCCCTATTGGTGGCTTTCAGAATGTACTTGTTCCCTCCGTGTCAGAGGAATGTTTTCATTTCTCCTGTGCAAGTGTCAGTGAATGCAGTTGGTGTCTTCTTTCCACGGGCCACTGCATTTAACAAGGAATACAAGTCTACGCCCCATATGCACACTCCTTCCAAGGGATTCTTTTCAGTGCTACTCACATCTATGAAACAGATGACAAACTACTGTTTGGTCTCTACCTAGGATGAGCTAATCTCATATACTGACCACCAATTTCAGTGCAATCTTCTTGGGCCTCATTCAGATGGGAACTGCATCACTTTTTTCCCATTTGCTCTCCTGGGCGGGAACACCCTCTGGGGACATTCCTCTGATTCAAGCCTCCATTTCACAGATTTGTCCACCCCTGTGGGCACTTCATGATCTTGTGACCTGCATACTTGTCCCATTTTTCCAGGCTGACTGATGTTATAACATCTGGTTCTTCTGGGTCTCTGGTCTTAGGGCGTCATTCTGGTGAGGTGGTGATATTTCAGGTCTCCACCTGTAATCCTGCCAAGGCTAACTATGCACTGCAAACGTCCTGGGTCTTCTCTCTCTGTACAGGGAAGCCTGTGCTCCCCCCATTATTGTGCCCTATCACAGCGCACTTCATGCTTCATCACGCACCCCATATCTATACGATAAAGGGTTTCACTCATGGCAAGGAGCTGGACTGGTGTCTCTTAAGGTCTATTCCAGCTCCCCTGTCCTAAATTCCTCTCTCATGATCCATTTATGACAAGTGGACAACATATTGCTCCTGCTAGACTGTTACTTATAATTTCTCACCATTCCTGCCAAGTCATGTTATCCTTGTTACAACCTCTGCAGGACATCACGGGATGGGATAACATTCCCACAGGGATCTCTTTCTACTACAATGTGAAATCCCTTTACTTTTATAATGGCGCTAATAGCCCTAAGAAGGTTCCAAAGTTTGCTGCGCAGGCACAGAATAACTCATTTGTGTGAATTTGCAGATGACCACTTAAAGAAATACTGTTACAGGTAAGCAACCTGTCCTTCTTCTTTGTGGTCTCTGCGAATCACACAAATGGGTTATATCTGAGCCTGCGCAGCTCGCTCAGAAAGTTCTAGTATCACTGGGCAAATCTTAGCTTGCAACATTTTGGCAGTAGCTTCACCCACCCCTATAAAGCCACTGATGTTCCTGCTCTTTCCTCAGTTCCTTTCATCTGCCGCATTAGCAGCTAGCAAGGAACTTCGCTCAGGAGAGTCGCTTGTTTCACTTTCAGTATTGACCTACAGCTATTTTTGACCATTTCTCTGACTTCTGACTACTCTTTTGGATTCTGGACTGGTGACTGTTGCAAATCGATTAACTTTGGACTGTTTTTGGCTTCATTTTTGGCTTGCTGACTTTGTCTTCATTGTGGAAAAAATGACGTCTTTTAAGCGCTGTACCAAATGTGGCACGAAGATCCTTACCACTGATTTCCATGATCAGTGTGTGCTTTGTTTGGGTGAAGCCCATAATCCTAAGGCCTGTCCTCTTTGTAAGGGGATGATGACCCAGGCCTTGAAAAAACGGGACCTCAAATTGAAGTCCGCCCTTTGGGAATAGGCCTTAAGACCAGCCTCTGCGTCCCCTTAAGGCACCTCGGGCGAAGGACCATCCACCTCTGTTAAGGAGAAGGAGAGGGAGGTCCAAAGAGAGGTCCTCCAAGGACAAGAAGACCTTGAGGTCAAATAAGGACTGCGGCGATGGTACTGGCAAGAAGACTGCCAAGAGAAAGCATCTAGAGGCTTGCGCATCTTTGACTGAATTTGGGTATTATCAAGGGCTCCCAGCTGCCGTTCACACCAAGGATCTCTTCCTCCCTTACTGATAGGGAGAGTAAGAAGCTAGATGCCATGGCCAAAAAACTCTATCCTGAGCTGGTGTTGGATCCAAAGGTCTCCAATTAAATGGCCTGCATGGGAGCCTATGTCCAGCATCTTATGGAGCATCTGGAGCCTCTTCTAGCTTCAATCCCAGATGGGGACAGGGCCCTGGCGATGGCCATTCAGGCTGAGACCCATGCTTGGGGGGGGGCAGCAGATAATCTCAGTGTGTCACTCCACTGACTGTGCTGCAAAAATCCTGTTGGGCTCGGTGGCTCTTCGCAAGCCTGCGTGGCTTTGAGCATCGGACTTGACACCCCAGGCTAGGACAGTCATCGAGGACATGCCCTTCAATGATTCCGGTCTCTTCAACAAAGAGAAAGATGAGAAGTTAAATTTTAGGTATTGAATGAAGGCAGCAGCCAAGAAACATGGTATGTCCTAGTCCACCTTCCAGTCCCCCAGATATCACTACGGAGGCCAGCGCTCTTGGTACCAGCCTTAACACCAGTGTATGTACCACAGAGCCAGTCTAGACAGCGCCAACTATCTCAGTCATCCTCCTCTTCCTCAGGCTGTTGTCAACAGTCCCAACTTCAGTACTGGCAGGACTTCCGGAAAAAGTCCTTTGACTCAGGCAAGGGGAGGTTATGAGATGGGGCAGTGCACTTTGCCGAATCTCTCTTTGGGGACAGATTAGAAGCTTACTCTAACACCTGGGTCCCAATCACCTCCAACTCCTGCGTATTGGACATTGTCTGTAGGGGCTATGCTCTCGGGTTTGAGGAGCTCCCAACCACCAAGATGTCCGCTCCACCAGCCCCTCAGACACCTTACTCGACGAAGTGCACACCTTGTTAGAAAAGGGGCTATCAAACCCACAGACTCCTCTCAGGCTTGATACTTCACTGTTCTCAAGAAAGACTCCGGCATTAGACCCATCCTGGACTTAAGACAATTGAACTCTTTCATTTGTTACTGACGTTTCCGCATGGTAACCCTTGCCTTTATTTTACCACTCTTACAGAGAGGACACTGGTTTGTGACCCTCGATCTCAAAGATGCTTATTTTCACATCAGCATTTGACAGGATCACAGAAGGTTCCTGGACTTCACCGTCAGGACCGAAACATACCAGTACAAGGTTCTCCCATTTCAACTCTGCACAGCACCGAGAGTCTTCACCAAATGTATGGCTCCAGTGGCAACTTATCCCCACCAGTGAGGGATCATGGTCTTCTCTTACTTGGATGACTGGCTCTTTGCAGCACCATCCCATTAAAGACTTTAACAGGACATTAAATTTGTCCTTTCCCTTCTGGACTCCCTTGAACTCTTGGTCAACAGAGAGAAATCACGTTTGGTCCTATCCAAATAAGTCAAGTTCATCAGAGCGGTCCTCTGACAAGGCCATGGCTGTCATGGTTTTAAATGTCCTCCATTTTTCTTGACTGTCTTTCATTTTGAGCATGACTAAGAAGCATGAATTTGTATTTCTATGAGTATTTTTAGCTTTTCTTCAGCCATATCCTCCATTTTTCTTAACTGTCCTCCATGTTGACCAAGAGCCATAAATTTATATTTCTATGAGTGTTTTTACCTTTTCTCGGGTCATGTCCTACATTTTTCTTGAATGTCCTCCATTTAGAGCATAACTATGAAGTATGAATTTATATTTCCCTGTCTTTACCTTTTCGTGGGTCATGTCTTCTCTTATTCTTTGCACTATTTCTGGCTGTCTGCAAAGGCCTAAAGAAGCATGAATTGATATTTCTAGGAGTGTCTTTACCTTTTATGTCCTCCCCATATATTTCTGACCTATATATATTTCTATATATATTTCTTCTTCTGCCATGCCCTCCCCATATATATATATATATATATATATATATATA